CTGCCACTACTAGTACTACTACTACTACTACTACTACTACTACTACTACAACTACTACGTCTACTAGTACTTATGATTTACAGACCAGGCTTGCCTATGGTACAACTGCTGGTGCCCAGGTCCGGAAACACCACAATTGCGGTAGCATTTGCATACAGGCTCTCACATCCTTTGCCGTGTCTGAACCTTCTGGTGAAACCAATCACGAGGTCAACTGGCCTGCCTGTGTAGTGAGTGTTGCAAACCAGATCGAAGAAAGTTGGCGAATCAAGCAGTAGTTCAGATCTATTACAAGCAGAATGCCAATGGACAAAATCAATGGCTGCTGCGAATACTACATACTACCAGCAACGAGGAAGTTTGCTCTCTTGGGTTTCCATGGATGCTTCTGACCATTGTGGGGCATGACTCACATGCCAGCAGCCTGCAAAAGCGGCCGGTCCATCCCTATGCAAGCTATGCCGCAGAGTCAAGATCATCCATGTAGGAGTGTACGCATAGTAGCCGTGCTTACCCACACGCATGCTGATTATCATGTCTATTTGTATTTGCGAATGAGCTGCAAACACAAATAGCCCACAAACAAACACTTAAGTCTTTCAGTCTGTCTATTAACTTCTACTCCCCAACACCTCCATCGACCTCGGCACTCACATGACATATCCGATCGCGGAACCCCCAACCCGAAACCAGGTCCAGCGCCGCGCCAGCTCGCCTCGACTTCGAAAGCTGCGTACTGGAGGCTTGTTTGGCCTAGGGTTTTTGGTTTAACCTCATATGGAGAACATAGCAACGAGACTGCAGTTTTTGGTCAATGTGCTGGCTCTCGAATCGTGTTTTGGTCTGTGCACTAGCAGGTTCAACGATATCAGGGCTTAGGGTTTAGGGCTTATAAGGTGTAGGGTCATGGATTTGGGAGTTGGGGGTTTAGGTTAGGTGTGAAAGACGGTCTGCATTCGCCCTCCCCCTTCCACAGATACCTACAGACCTGCAGAAAGTTCTCATTTTTTGTCTTACAAACGAAAGGGAGCATCTACCGAAACGCATTGTACATATATATATATATATATGTGCTGTAGAAGTGCACTACCAGTCTTAAACCTGTGTTTGAGAACTTCATGCCGAGCATAGATTGAACTGTCTAAACCCTAAACCCTAAACCCTAAACCCTAAACCCTAAACCCTAAACCTTAACCATAAGCCCTTTGACCCTAGGCCGCCGAGCAACTTCACAACCACGGACGAGAGTGTGCTCGGCCTCGGCCATCTGACACGTCAAACCCTAAAGGTCCATGTGGGTAGTTGGTTTAGGGTTTAGGGTTTAGGGTTTAGGGCTTACCCAGAGGGTCCATATGGGCAGTTGTGAAAATTATGGTCCCTTTTGGGGGTACCCTAAATAATAGGTGCCGTATTATAATAAGGACCCCAAAAGGGACCATAATTTTGACAACCACCCATGTATCTCAAGGCCGAGATCCATGTGGGTAGTTCTCTAAATTAGGGTCCCCTTTGGGGTCCTTTTTGTAAGAGTGCCGTGCTATATTGGGGACCTAAAGCGGGACCCTAATTTAGAGAACTACCCATGTAAGATAGAAACTCATCTAAAGCCTGAACCCTAAAACCCTCAACCGTATCCCTGGTCTTCAGGCTTTTTAAGCCCAATCATGTCAACAACCTGACCTGTTCGAAGGGGTGCGGTTCCCAGGTCTAGTATATGGGCTTTGCTAATAAGAACATAGTTTGGGGGTATCACCGTCGGATACGTACAGTGATGAACCCTGTGGGGTCGTATGGCTACCGAATTTAGGCTTCTATCTAACCCGGATATCTGAACCCAGGTCGCCAGAGGAACTCGATCTCGTTCCTGAGCTTCTTCATGGGGTGCGAGAGGAGCAGGGACAGGGCCGGCCAGCCCCCGAAGATGGCGTTGTCTGGGACCGTCTGGACAGCTTCCTGGCCTCACTCTGAAGGAAGGATGGTCCGAACCCACAGAGCCCTGGAAGGGTTTAGGGTTTAGGGTTTAGGGGTTTAGGGATTTAGGGTTTAGGGGTTTAGGGTTTAGGGTTTAGGGTTTAGGGGTTTAGGGTTTAGGGCCTGGTCTTAAGCAGAGTCGCCTTCTTGCAATCAGCATTACGGTATGGAGTCCAATATCAAGGCCTTGCTGAAGATGGTTTACCAGCCGGGGTCTATATATCACTTCGGATAGCAGTAGAGGTTGTGGAGATCGTGGCCGGGCGGTAACCCCACCTTTGTGGACGAAAGGTGGAGGCAGCCTGAATCCACAATGGAAACATTCCGTTTCAACCTCGACGAAGACTGGGGTAGCGGACAATTCATAACCCACTGACAGCAAATATGTGGGCGGAGAAACCCTAAACCCCTAAATCCTTCGGAGAAACCCTAAACCCTAAACCCTGTGGATAAAACCAAAACTCTAAACACTTCGGAGAAATCCAAAAGCAACTACGACTGAGTTGACCTGCAAGCGATCAGACTTTGAAGCCTCCATCCTGACTTCTGGCAGGGTGTGCAGCCCAGCTTCTAAGGAGTTTATAGGGTTTAGGGCTGGACCCGAATATGGTTGGCTATAAACCCTAGTAGACCCTGCACTATGGTGAACCGAACCTAAACCCTAATCCCTAAACCCTAATCCCTAAACCCTAAACCCTAATCCCCTAAACCGAACGTTAGCGTTCGTCGGATTGGATTGTGGGGCAGACCTGTGCCTGGCTCTGTCCTGGAGGCTGATCTTCCGCCCTAGACCCTACTTAAAGGATCATGGGACTTAGTAAGTAGGGTTATAACTAAGGTAACTATACTTATGACCCCCAATTAGGGGACTTATGACCTTACTTACTAAGTCCCATGATCCTCCAAGTACTATAGGGGCCGTAAGAACTCAAGGGGCCCGTAAAAACCCTAAACCCTAAACCCAAAAACCGTACGACAGGGGCCGTAAGAACTCAAAAACATAGTGTTCCGACCTAAACTTCAAACCCTAAACATGAAACCGGAATCACTTGACCCTGCAACTCAGATAGCAAATCCCTGCACCCTGAACCCCTCAATGCTGAGCTTCCTAGACCCTTAACCTCCAACCCGAAAAAACTAACATCCAACATATCAACCCGAAATGGTTTAAGCCTTTGGGGCCTGACCTTAGAAATCCAAATTATAAACCCGAGACTTGTTACTTGGCTTCCCAAACCCTCGGGCACCTTGTCGGCACCACCCTTGCACCAAGGAGGTCGCCCCATTCTTTTGCAGAAGTTTGGTCCGGACGAAGACGCCATCGTCATCCTGGAGACTACGAAACGATGACATAGGCATCTTTGGGAGTTTCCGAAAATAAGGCGTACCTTGTTTTGGGCTCCTTACAGTAAGGATCCTACTATTTAGGGTACTATATTAGGGTCGGGGCCTGAATAATTACAACAGGGCTTTGGGGTAGAGGATGCTACAGTCATAATAAGGAACCCCCAAATTAGTACGGGAAATTAAATAAGTATTAAGGCCCCTAGGGCTTGGGGCTTGTGGTTTAGGGTTCGGGTTAAAGGATTTGGGCCAAAGGGGTGAGCGCGTGGCCTGGTGCAGGGCTTTGGATTCAGGGTTTAGGGTTTGGGGTGTAGGTTTTGGGTTCAGGGTTTAGGGTTTAGAGTGTAGGTTTCGGGGCCCAAACCTGAAGCGGAACCTTAATGCCAGTTCGGCATGTCCTGCACAATGGCGACGGATCCACCCTCGCGCACTTTGGACGCATAGATCTGATGAACTGCATCCAGCCGATCCGTCCGCAAGCCAGGGTATCCTGAGATGCGGGTCTCCGATACCAAAACTATGCAAGACTCAGACGGCAAACCCTAAACCCTGAACCTTAAAACCTTATTATCAAAGTAATCTAGCATAGAGGAAACAGGCTCGCACATCCGCGCTGCAACGAACAAGGTGGTCGCCACAGTAACAGCAGGTACTGCTGTTGTTGTTGTTGTTGCAACAGAATATTATTTACGTGATAACGACGCTTACCGTCGTCGTCACGTCTTGTTGTCGGCATTGTCCTCGTACTACGACCACGATGCATGCGACAGCGACGACTAAGGCTACGAACCAATCACGATTGTACTGTCGACCTCGACGGCCACCCTGATTCCCAAAGGGTCCAAGTTATAGTATACTATGTACTTTTGGGGCCCAAATACCTACAAAGTAGCTACCATATTAATACTTGGACCCTTTGGGATTTCTGTCACAACCTAACATTTCTTGGAGCAGACGCGCGTCTGAGTGCCAGTATGGCCGTGCTGGGGCGGGTCTCCTTCGCAGGGAAATCTCCCACGGCTTCAGGTTGGGGCTGTCGCAACTTTCTGCTCAGGGCTAAGAAGTTTTTTAGGGTTTAGGGTTTAGGGGTTTAGTTTTTAGGGTTTAGGGGTTTAGGGTTTAGGGTGTAGGGGTTTCACACATTCGGGCTTGGAGTCCAGGCTAGGGTTTATGTCTTGGTATGCCTATAGGAATCGTCATGGAGGTTTAGGAGCTGGAGTGCCCACAGAAATAGACACCCCTATAGCGCCCCTTATAGCAACCCTGATAGGAACCGTTAGATGACTCTTAAACCCTAAACCGCGAAACCCTAAAACCCTACCCTAAACCCTAAACCCTAAACCCTACACCCCTAAACCCTAAACCATGGATGGCTCCTTTCAATAGCAACCCTGAGGCTTCGGCGTAGGCTTACTGCTCATCGAGTGATTCGGTCGTCAGGGTCCTGAGCTTGAGATTCCCGCGGGTGAAACTACGGCCAAACCCTAAACCCTAAATGCCCTAAACCCTAAACCCTAAATGCCCTTAACCCTAAACCCGAAACCCTAAATGCCCTAAACCCGGGGCATCAGTCCTCGAAAGGGAGGCGCGCATCGCGCTGAAACTTCACCCTCTCTCGAGCCTCATCACCCCAGAGTGGGTGGGCAGCCCCGCCGTGGTAGATCCTTTGACGGTTTAGGGGTTAGGGGTCTAGGGTTCAGGGGTTTAGTAATTTAGGGGTTTAGGGGCTTAGGTGTTTAAGGTGCTAGGGGTTTAGGGGCGTAGTAGGGGTTTAGGGTTTGGGCTTGCGCCGTTCTGTTTTCCGTCTTCAAAGATGGAACAGTTGCCCTAGGGCTCCAGTTGCCTAAAAAGGAGGTTAATTACTAAGCAAACCCTAAACCCGAACCCCTACACCCGTGAACCCTAACCCCTAAACCCGAACCCCTACACCCTAAGCTATTATATTTAGGTAGCTGGAGCCCTGGGTGTGCATAACGACCTCGAGGGTTCGGACTTGTGGGGCAGTCGCAGCCTCTGGGCGACTGTGAAATGGATCCTCCGAAACTTTCGGAAATCAATCTTGGGATTCCCAAATTAATTCATACCCTAGAGTTAAGGAGCCATAACCTGCTATTTTGTAAGGTCGGGGATACAGGAACCAGATGGCTTGTCTTTGCGCCAGAAGCCCCAACCGCCCTAATCCCTTACTGGCCTGAACCTTAGGGTTTAGGTTTAGGGTTAAGCCTTACACCCGAATAACCCTAAACCCTAAACCCTATACCCAAGACCATAAACCCTAAACCCTAAACAGGCCCTAAACCCTAAACCCAAACCCCTGAAACGCACAGCCCTAAGCCCTGAAACCCGAAGCCCTGCAACCCGAAGCCCTGAAACCCTAAGCCCTAAGCCCTGAAACCCTAAGCCCAAAGCCCTAAGCCCTAAGCCCTGAAACCCTAAGCCCTGAAACCCTAAGCCCAAAGCCCTGAAACCCTAAGCCCTAAGCCCTGAAACCGTAAGCCCTGAAACCCTAAGCCCAAAGCCCTGAAACCCTAAGCCCTAAGCCCTGAAACCCTAAGCCCTAAGCCCTAAGCCCTAAGCCCTAAACCCTAAACCCTAAACCCTAAACCCTAAACCCTAAACCCTAAACCCTAAACCCTAAACCCTAAACCTTCAGAGCTAGGAGACTCGAACTTCACAGCCCGCCGCTCGCAAAGATCTGCGACGCCGCGCCGAGCAGCGCGCAGAGGGGAAGAACCAGTGCATGCAGGCAAGCTGCGGGTGTACATGGGGGTTCTTCTGGGCTAATATAGCGGCCTTGAGGATTTGAATAGGGTTTTGGGGCCCAGTATACTATAATTAGAATAATAAAGAGCCCCAGAATAGTATTAGTAGTTATTTGGGCCCCTACATTATAGTAGATGCCACAACTCAATCTTAAGCCGTAAAGGCTAGAAGAGATTTTCGTGGACCATCCTACGTTTTACCTCAAATGCGCAGGACAGCGACGCTAATTGAACGCGACATCTACAAAAGGAGTGGCTGAACCAGCTCTCTTCCCCTCCCACTATCTTCATATACTTTACGTATACACCCTGTCATCATCTATACATTAGCTCTAGCATGAGAGAACCGGGGAAAACTTTTGTCTGTTTGTAGTCTGAGCCTGACGAGATACAAAACGCATCGAATGCTGCATGCGACGAGCCCAGAGAACCCAATACCCCTTAATTAAGGAATATACCTTAAAGTATAGGGGCCTTAATATTATGATTTAAGGTATATTGCTTAATTAAGGGGTATTGGGCTCTCTGGGAGAAGACTTGTGCTGTCCGCTGAGGCGCACACGCACTCTGACGTCTGCGTAGGCTTGGAGCATCTTCGCGGCCTAACCCTAAACCCGATCTTCAGGGTGTTAGTTGAAGCTTAGGGCTTAGGGTTCCAGGGAGTTGATTCCAGAGTTCAGGGTCTAAAAGGCTTTAGGGCTCTCAGGGTTCAGAACTTGGGGTTTTTAGGTTGTTGGTGTACGTAAACCCCTAAACCCTAAACCCCAAAAGTCGTCAACCCTAAAACCTACGTTAAACTACCAAACCCTACTTTTTTGTAGGTTCTTATTATAAACCCTGATATGGAATTTATAGGGACCCTACAAAAAAGTAGGTTTTGGTAGGTTAAGGTAAACCCCTAAACCCTGAACCCCAAAAGTC